TTGATTCTTATTATATTTTATTAGACAAGTTATTTTATTTTTAAGTAATGCTACTGATAACTCCTTTGTTATGACTTAAAATATTCTTGGAAAATATAGCATAAAGAATGCTTATGAGGGCTGGGGTTGTGCTTCAGTGGTAGAGTGCTTTGCCTAGCACATGTGAGGCACTGGGTTCAATCCTTAGCACCACATTAAATAAATAAAATAAAGGTATTGTGTTCATCTACAACTAATGAATTTTTTTTAAAAAGAATACTTATGAAACAGATTATTATTTCCTTTAGGAATAGATTTTAAAATAAATGGTGACTATCTTACTCAAGAGTTAGCATTGGATACATCAGAAATATGACCAGTTATGTCTCATGACAATTAACTATATATCATATAACATTAATTATTAATATTTATCATATAACATTAAAATTATAATACCAATGGGGAGGGAAATAAATAATATTGGCCAAATTATGTTATATTGTGTGCATGTACACATATTTAACAACAAATCCCACCATTATGTACAACCATAATGCACCAGTAAAAATATGGAAGAAATTGTACCAGTTTTATAAAAGTCACAGAAAAGCCAAGTGTATCCTTTAGACAAAGAAATCCAACAAACTACATTTGAGTATGTGTGTGGAGGGGGACATTAAAAATATTATGTTTTGAGGCTGGTAATGCAGCTCAATGGTAGAATGCTTGCCTAGCATGCAAGAGGCCCAGGGTCCAATTCCTAGCTACACACACACACACACACACACACACACACACACAGATTATGTTTTATGTTTTCCTGGATACTGATATTTCCTGTGGTCTCTGAGTTACTAAAAGCTGTGCTACAGTGAAAAGCCAAATGAGCCATTGGAAGACTTTGAAAGTTTACTTCTGAGGCTCATAGATGGTTCCCTTCTGTACATTCTAAAGTTCTATAAAACTAAACTTCCCCCCCTAAAAGTACTGTGCTAGTTAGCTCATTATATACTAATTATTATAAGCACTAAGCAATAAACTCATAATTTCATGTGCTGTCTTGAATTTCAGAATTTAGGGTGTGCTTGATGGTCCTGTTTTAGAATATTGTCAAATATTGTCCAAGAAATTTGAAACAATAGTTCCTGCTTCTTCAGTCAAGTTATATATCTTGTGGCAGTAGGGCATCCTAAATAATTTTCTCCATTACCAAAGTACTGTGCTTTAGAAATGTTCACAGTTTTTTTTTTTTACTTATGAAAGGTCATCATCTACCTCCCTCTTTACCTTTGCCTGACTCCTTAAATAGCTGAAAGCTGCAAAGGTAGAGGTTAGTAACAGACCACAGCAAGGCACCCAGAAACAGTGAGTGGAGTGTAGCTACCCAGCCATGCTTTTAGCCACCAGCTACATTTTTTTCTTGGCTAATCTGCTGACAATTACCATCAGGTCCTGAGCAACATCCTGTGAAAAAGGAGTTATAACACATCTCTTACACAATTCTCAAAAACACAGAATACCTTGAATGTAGCTTCCATTACCTGCTGAAGGTTCCTGGTAAAGGTGGCAAGCAGCAAATCAAGTGTGTTAATTAGATGACAACAAGTGGATGAAGTGGCAAAAAGACAATTTTAAATAGAGTGGAAGTCTTGTAAAGGATGAAAGATACACGATTTCTGTAATTATTAAAAGGTTGAAACAATTGTTCATTGATACTAGCAAGCTGTTTTTTTTTTTTTTATTTGGTGCATGATAATTATACATGCTGGTAATGTTTGTTGTTACATATTCATGCAAGGACACAGACTGGTACCCTCCTTTCTCTCCCTTCCAATCCCTCCTGGTCTCCTTCATCTACTCCCTGGTCTCCTTTTTATTCATGATATGCTGTCTGTGCCCCCCGCACCCCACCCCTTCCCCCCTTTATCTCTCTAGCTTTCACGTGAGAAAAAACATATGATCCTTGACTTTTTTTACTTTAAAAAGCCATTTTTAAATTTCCCGTATTCATCTGTTTTAGGTGTTGATTTCCTTTGCAAATTAAAATACTGAATTCCATTTGTAGTAAAGAGATTTAAATAAAAATTTCAGACAATGGAAATTATTTACTCTATGATCCCAAACATTATTAATTTAGAACCATCTTTTTATTTTAAAGTATACATCCATTTTCTTTCCCAACTTTATTTTTCTCAATCTCCCCCAATTTGAAAATGAACATATTTGTTTAAAATGACAAATTCTCTTAAGCCAGAGAGAATGCTAAAGTTCCCAAATGTTAACTTAGCCCTTCTTGAATATAAGGTTTTGAGTCTCTTTAATTTCTTCCTAATTAGAAATAAAGTAATGTCAGTAAAATTCCTCAGGGTTTACAATTTTCAAATATTAAGCATATATTTTTAACTGTGTCAAATTATATTCATGTAGAAATATAATATTTTTTAAAATAATAAGGAAACAAAAAATAAAAGTAACAATAGACCTTCCAAGAGCAGTATAAGTAGCTCATATATTAAAAGCTCTACTCAAAGGCAATGTTATGTAAATTCAATAATAGATCCTGGATTCCTTTGTGTTAGCTATTCAACTCTGTACTGATATCTTCAAGAGACTAGCAGAATACTTCACCTTGGAAATGTAACATTTTAAAGACACTGCCATTAGTGATTTTATGTACTTTTACACACTCTTCTTTTTTAAAAAAAAATATTTATATTTTAGTTGGACACAATATCTTTATTTATTTTTATGTGGTGCTGAAGATCGAACCCAGGGCCTTTCTTGTGCTAGGCGAGTGCTCTACCGCTGAGCCACAACCCCAGCCCCTACACACTCTTCTTGAATTTGAAATAATGGATAAGTTCAGATAATAATTTTTTCTCCATTTCAAATTTTATGACTAAAATATTGAGTTGTGTTTTATAGTCTACATTCATTATATTCTGTAAAGTCAGACAGGAGCTTTAGGCAAAGAATACCTTTAGAGTCTGGAATTAGATATGAAGCAATCAGAAGTTTAAAATGAATAATCATGTATTCAAGAAGCATAAGAATTTCCCAAAGATCCCGAAATACAACTAAATACTGCATACTGAGTGATAGATGAGCAATAGTTTGCCAATGCTCTGTAAAATTTCTTTTCCTTTTGTGGCCAAGAAAATTTTCAATTCAAGTGTAGGCCAGAATAATTATTATAAACTTAATTAAGCCCTCCAAAGCAGTTTGGGTAGTGTTATGGATATTTGTATAGCAACTTTTACACTGAAAAACAGAACGAATTTTTAGGTATGAGGAATTCTACAGGGATCCCAGTAATTAACCAGTCTCAATGTCTAAAACAGAAAGAGGGAAATTTAAAGTGTCAAATAGCAAGTAAAGTCACATACTATTTACACAGAACAAGACTCCAAAAATACTTTAGACCATTTTCTTCTCAAATTAGGTACTTCTCATCATAATGAACCAAATACAATTTCTTAATATTACATGTTTAAAAAGAATGTGAACTTGGTTTCTATAGAAGAGAGATGGAAAGAGGAGGATGCTGATCTAGATTCCAGTCTTGCTGAGCAACTTTCTGCAAGACCTGGAAGTTTCTAATGCTATCAGTCACTTTGGTAAAATATGGCTTATTTAGCAACATGTTCAATACCCTGTTTTAATAAGTAAGACAGTGAAAGCATTTTGAACAATATATGTTATTCTTCATTAGCAAAAAGGACGTATCAGGCACATTTAATCTCTGCAGTAGTATAAATGTCACAGGCTAGCTTGGTTGTAAATTGGTTCACTTTTATGGCTCTTGGCAACTTATAATTTCAGAGTCCACCTAAAAAATTCAGCAACAGGGACTATGTTTAGATTGTATTGGCTAAATAGATCTACTCCTATCCTGAGCACTCCCCATTATTGATGGTGACAACTAAAGTTCAGTTAGAATATATAAAAATTATGCACATTATTGTGGCATTTGAAAAATAATTTACTTACCTTAGAATTCTGATCAAGAGAAGAAATAATGATCATTTATGCGTAAAGTAAATCCCCCCTCCAAGTACATAAAAAGAACGCACTATTGATTTCTCTGCCGCGATTTGGGATTATACATTTATTTTATTTTATTTTCCTTTTGACAAAGGGAACTGTTGTTGGCCTTTAAAATGTAATTTGCAAATGTAACTGATGTACTTTTTGCCACCAATAAAACAAATACATATGACAAAAAGAATGCAAACTCATTTCAGCCTGTAAGATTTGTTTTTAAATTATTCTATTTGCAGCCAGGGGAAATACATGAGATCATGTCTTTTTCTCTGCCAACAGCAAATTGATTTCCCCACCCCACGTGGACAGTTGAGCAGTACTAGTCTAGCAAGCTTAAAGTCTCCCAACTCCTGTCATACCATCTGTGACCACGCAAGCGTCTTGGTTAGTAAATTGGATGGGGCAAGACATCCACAGGGCATCTCCTGTTCAACTAAGGAGACTGTGCTGACTTTGTGGCTATCCTCTGTGGCTGCCGCATCAGTGAAAGAAAAAAAAAAGTGGAGGGAGTACTCAGCAGGGTGCACGCGGTTTCTGCCATCCACGTCTTCATCTGTGCAAATACTGTACTACTCCCCACGTGCCTTCCAAGAGCGCCCCCCCCCCGCGCGCGCGCACACACACACACACACACACACACAGACGCACGCACACGGAACCTCACCCAGTTTCAGGCCCAGACTTGTCCCCCGCCCACCCAGAGTCTCCCGCTCCTCCACCTCTCCCCGACCCGCCCGGGCTCCACGTGGGCGCACCCCGGCGCCAGGCAATCGCGCGGCCCACGGAGCCCTGAGCCGGCCCCGATCTGGGAGGGAAGGCGCGGCCCGGGGTCGGACGGACAAAGCGAGTGTCCAATCGAGCCTAGCACTGCCTCCCCGAAGGGAGGGAGCGGCGGCTCGGACAGGCCCAATGAGCGGGGAGCCCGAGTGGGACTTCCTCCCGGAATCCCGTTGGCCAGAATAGCGGGGCCGTGGGTGACACGTAAGTTGGGTGGGAGGTGGCGGCGGCCGAGGCTCCAGCAGCCGGGTCAGTGACATTGTACCACCTTTCCCCAAACCCGGCCAAAGCAACCTGCCCCCCCCCACACCTATCCACCCACCCGGCTAGCCAAGAGCGGGGGCTCCGCCCGGAGCCCACTCCCTTTGTTGGGCTAGCACCCTCTCTTTTAGTGGCAACAAAGTCGTGCAGTGGGAGCCGGCGCGAGGGGGCGGGGAGCAGCCGGGGCGGGACTCCCGAGAGCCGCCGGGGACAGCGAGGCCAAAAAGTGGGGAGGAGGAAAAAAGCAGGCGGTGTCTGGGGACTGGCGCTAGGGCAGCCAGTTCTAAAGTATGCGGAGGGCCCCCTCCTGGGCCCGGGCACTCGCTGAGAGCGAGCCTCGCAGAAGTTTGGCGGCCCCTGCCCTGGCGGCGTTGATGGCTGTGCGCCCCGCGGCGCGCGGGGGCTGAGCGGGCGCCACTTCCCCTCCAGCCCCGCTTTTGTGTCTCGCGTCTCCTTATGCGGCGCCCGGCCACCTCCTGCGGTGGCCGCTGCTGAACGCACGCTCGGGCGGAGGAGAGGAGGCGACCGCTACCGCCGCAGCGCAGGGTTTAGGCGGGACTATGGGAAACGGGATGTGCTCCCGAAAACAGAAGCGGATCTTCCAGACGCTGCTGCTGCTGACCGTGGTATTTGGCTTTCTCTATGGCGCGATGCTCTATTACGAGCTGCAGACACAGCTGCGGAAAGCCGAGGCGGTGGCGCTCAAGTACCAGCAGCACCAGGAGTCCCTCTCTGCCCAGTTACAAGGTACAGTGGACGCGCGCGGCCCTTGGCCAACTTTGCCCTGTGCTTTCAGCGAGGCTGGAAAAGTGACGTTTATTAGCCTTTGACACAGAGGCTGTCACCTCTGACCTTCAGGGACATCAGAATGAGCGGTGCAGGTCTCCCCCCCCCCCCCCCGTCCCCCGCCCAAGTGTCAGGGAAGATGACATCCCCATTCTCTTCCTTCCTTTCAGCGGTTTCCTTTGAAATCTGTAGCACCAGTCCATCTTCCAGCGGGGCGTTTGGTGGGCGGGTGATCAGGGACTACTTTAACCCAGCACTTGTCAAAGGCCCAGCTACAGTCCAAGCAGGCATACTGGTAACTCTCCAGCCGCTTCTGCCAGCCTATCCCAGAGAGGTATGGTTCCGTGGTTTCTAGGTGTTTGCTTTCCAGTTGACTTTACCAATCGCCTAAGAAATGAGGAGTTGAGCAGAGATTTCTCAAACTGATGTTTTTCAAGGAAAAATAATAGCCCCAACTAGTAGCAGTTGAATGGGACCTAAACCTGCTAGTTTTTTTTTTTTAATTGATACTTTAATAGGGTGATTTGAGAGGTGTTGGGTGTGTGGGAAAAGCCCAGACTACCTAACTGTTCACTATGCTGCAGGTATTTTGTCTTAAAAAAAAAAAAAAAAAAAAGATTTGTCTTCCTGAGTAGCATTTAATTCATCAGAGGTGTGTGTGTGTGTGTGTGTGTGTGTGTGTGTGTGTGTCTGTGTCTGTCACTTACAGTTAGTCTTGGGAACTCAAAGGGCAGAAACAGTTTTTCACGTTGTCAGGCACAGCAAACATAATGTGCAAAATCTGTAGAAAGAATTAAAGCTTGTGTCCTTCTAGTTTGGAATATCATTTAATGTAAATTTCAACATAAATGATACATGACTGTACCATGTGGTCTTGTTAAGGACATAGTCATCACATATATGTATATATTTTTTGAAAGCTTTTAGCTTTTACCTCTACTTGTGGTTTGTTTTCAACACATATGCCATCCTCCAACAACCCCCAAGTGATAAATAGTGAAATGCTGACAGTCTTAGCTGATAATGCAAATATAGCTTATTTTATAGTATTAGGCAGAAGCAAGCTGGAGGGTCCTTTTTGTTTGTGTGTGTGAATACAAATATGAAACAGATGCCTTTTCCTTGCTCCAGCTATTCCGGGTGTTTTCTAGTAAAAACTTTAAGATGAGAGAAAATGATACACAGCTGATTGCTTGGACTCATTTGTTCTTCCCAACTTAGAAAAAGGAAAGTATTTTTAGCCCACTGAGCCTTCATAGCCACAGGCAATGAAAATATGTGGCTGGGCTTGGCTCAAAAGGAAAACCTGTTTTGACATACTCTTAGGTTAAAAATTTTTCTTTTAGTATGTTCAGATTTACCCATGAGTTGTTGGTATGAGGAGGGTAAGGCAGGTGGGCATTATTTATTTAGAAGTTACCAGCAGTTTCCCTGTGAATTTTAGTGCACCAGGACCAACAGAAGAACTTGTTGTCTGCTAGTTCATGGGGTTGAGGGGAGACACAGGGACTGGACAACAACGAGGACTGGATTTTCACAGAGGTGTGGCAGGGGCATGCATAGTGAGGTTGTGTGCCTTAGTTTCTTATTTAGGAGACCCAGGAAGGCAGGGCTTCATTTTCTCCATTACATCCTTGGCACTGTGTAGTACCTGATGCTCAAAAGGAGAATCCATATGTATTAATTTAAACAACCAACAGGAATTACTCTGAACTGTGGTGAGAAGTTGATCCCAGGCACTTCTGTCTGCTTTATTAGGCTTTGCTTCTGTGTCTCTGCTTTTTGAAAAATCAAACTAAACAACAAAATATTTTGCCCAAGTAGCTCTCTTGCCTTAACTGCCAAAGCTAGAACTTGTTGACAGAGGCCCTGGTTTCTAAATCACAGCTTTTTTTGCACTATTCCACTTGAAAATCAATCTCAATTTCTTTTCTTTTTTAATTTGTCTTCCTTCTGTGGGGTTGTAGGGAGAGGGGTGGAAAATGGTAATAGGGAATCATTAACATGCACAACTTTTGCTTTGTAGCAGGAGATGAAAATATTTCTACCTAGTTTGAATGGGTGGCTTTAAAGTTCATTTCCTAATTTACTCTCTTGCCACTTCCTCTTGGATTATAGTGATGCAACACTTAAAATATGACTATGTAGGAAGAATTATTTCACAAGCAGATTAAAGTGTCTTCTTTTTTTTTTAATGGATTCACTCTTCTGTAACATTTTGAATTTCACGTTTGCAGGCCATTTAATGAACATTTTCTGATGGCATGCAACTTTTTCTTTCTTTTTGCAATGACAGATGATATTTTTTAGCATTTTCATGTACTACCTGCATAGATGGGTTTTTAGAGCATCAGACTCTCCCTTCTTAAGACTTGTTAGTGAGGTAAGATCTCTTGACCTGGCTTGGATTAGAATCAGAGTTAATTCTGAGCGGCCTTCTTTTAAAAAACCTGACTCTTGAAAAAATTCAAGTACTTTGGTTCTGATAATATACATTTTTTAAATGAGCATAGTTAGCTCATCTTCACATGAAGAGTAGGCTATACTCTAGAGATTCCTTTGAAAGTAGGTTACTTTTTACCCTGAGTACATTTTGTGGTGGAATAGTCCTATAAACAGGAGACAGTGAGAGGTGATATGGGAAAGTTGAGAGACTAGCCTACCCTCTCCACTAAAAACCATGTCTGTGTCTGACTCTGTCATTCATTCAAACAATCAATCATCTGTCTATCCATCCATCCATCCATCCATCCATCATCAATGTTTCTAGCTCCCATACTGGCACCTTAGTTACACTGAGGAGTAGTGCATAGGTCACATGCTGGTAGCAGAGTAGTGACAACCTTTGAACAGCACAGTATTTACTTTACACTCAATTTTTTTTTTCCACTGCTTTTCAAGTGCACCATTCTATGTACCTATCAGTGGTGTTTCTTGGGCTTGACTGCCCATTAGAATCACTTAGCAGCTCCCAGACCAATTAAATCACAATCTGCAAGGGGTGGAACCCAAGCCCCAGTAGTCTTTAAAGCTCCCCAGGTAATTCCAGAGTGCAGCCATGGTTGAGGAACACAGCTTTATAATCTTAAAACTGAGCCACTTCATACATTTATTTTACTTGGTTAGGCCCCAGAGACATTTGCATCTTATCCTGAGCATGTGATTTAAAGCCAGACAGGTTTTTGGATTATGATTCAAATTCTAGTTCTGCGACTTTTTGTATGAACTTTGGCCTCATTTTTCTTATTTATAAAATGGAAGTTAGGATGACTCATTTTGCAGGGGTGTTTTGGGGATTAAATAAAATAATTCACATAGAACTGTTAGCGCATACCTGGCACACAGCTGCTCTTTAAAGACCAGCTGTTATTATTATTATCAGAGTTTGAGTTGGTTTGTCTCTTTTTCTCTTCCCAGGTTTGTACAAATTTTGAAATTGACAGAATTTGTTTTTGTAGTTAGCCACGTACTTTGGATATTTCTAAATGAACATCAAGGAGAATAGACAGATAGGCATAAATCCAGGGGACTTTACTCTGGAAAAGGATTCTTCCTTGATGTTTAAATATAGAATGAAGAGTATGGTTACTGATGGACTCTCTTCTGGATCATCCCAGATTAGGAGAGGGGTGCAACTTTAAGTGAAATAGCATGTTCATTAAGATCTGGGAGAAAGATAACTGTGAAACAGTTTTATAAATAGTCTTTAGTGGCAAGGAGCCCCATGTTCCTAAAACAACACTGGGTTACAGTACTACAGTGCCTTTTATCTTCCATATGATGACCAAAAAAAAAAACATTGAAAAAGGTTTACATAATGTTTTAAATGTTCCTATTTCAGAAAAGTGTATTATGGATAATTAAAATAAAAGAATTGGGTGCTTTTGAGAGTCACATTTGTTTAAGGTTATTGTCCTTTGTATTATGCTCTCTGACACTTACTATGGCCCACTAGTCTAAACATGAAGACTTTTTGTTGAAATTGGATACATGTTGATTTTCCACTTTGGCTGAATCTTCTTTCAAAACAGAAAAATCTCTTCAGTCAGGAGCAAGGGTTTTTTTGTTTTTGTTTTTTTTAATTCCTTCATCTTCCACTGCCTTGTACCTGGCCTACAGTAGGTACTCAGTAAATAGTAGGTCTGTATCTATCTAGTCTTCTCTCTGCCTAAGAATGTGCTTATTTATGGAGGGAAGTGAGGTGTAGTAGATGTAGTAGCTCAGGTCTGAGCACATAGGCTTAACTCTCTGCTATCCTTTTTACTGTGATATTTGGCAAGGGAGTGAACTTCCCTGTGACTCAGTTTCTTCATGTGTAATAATCAGGATAATAGGATTTATAATAGGCTATCATGATCATTAGTGTTTGAACTTGCATTTGGTCTATTGGGGAGACTCAAGTGCAACAGAGTGGTTCACAGACCTCTAATATAGGTGTCAAGTCTGGGCAATGTTATGGTAGATGTAGTCGAAATCAAGGGCAAAGTTGGGATTTATTAATATCAATTAGACATTGTTGGTGAAATAGCTTCACTAATGCGCATCATACAGTTTGAAAGTAGGTTTTTATCAAGCTGTTGTTTAAAAGAATGCTCTTTAAATTCAGTAGGTTTTTACATATACATTCATTCCCCGATTAAAAGATAAAAAGCTCTAGTTACTTTTAAAAACTGATTCAGTTTGCATATGATTCATACAAAAATATATAACCAGTTTTATACATGATGTGTGTCTTAGTCATCCCTGTAAAATGGAACATGCCAACTCTGTAATGAGAATAACTGGTTGACCATGTAAGAGAATTGTGTATTATGAAAGCACTTTTAGTGTGCATTCCAAAACCTTACCTCCACTTTTTAAATTTTTTTCCTGACTCAGCAAGGACAGTTTCCTGTAGGGTTGGGATACGAGACTGCATTTCAGTGGCTGAAGGAATAAGTGAATTGAAGTTGGGAAAATGA